GGAAAAGAGTTGCTTTAACTTCACTGATTTTCAGTAGATTTTCCCGTAGAGAATGCCTTTCAGTACCAAGTCCCAGTGAAGAGGGGAAATCTGGGGCTAACGAGGATTCTCTTCCACTGTCACAGGACTGTGACAGACTTTCAATTCAAAGCAGTGGAAAGGGAGAAATAACTATAATCCCAGGAGAATAACTTCAAATGATTACAGCTGAAATACTTTTTTAAATTCCAGTTGGGAGAGAGGGCTTGGGAACCACTGTACAGTGGGGTTAAGCATTACTGGGACCGTAACGAGTCAGGAGAAATCCCATACAACATTTCACAAATTAGGATAACATGAATAGCGACTACATAAAAAAGGGTTCAATGATCAAAACAGCATGAGTGGGTGAAGCAAAACTCAAAATTTTGTTTGTATGACTTTAAGTCAGGGGTTACAATCTCAAATACCCACTGGGGCCAGGTAAGGACCGTAAATGGGGTCAAATGGAGAACTCACTGCCTCTCCAAAGGTTACAAGGACCAGTGCTATATGGGGCAGCACTGACAGCTTTTCTCAAAAACTAGAAATCTAGATTCTTACATACCATCCCTCAATTTTCAACACTGCCAACTAATTCAAAAAATGTTTTCCTCTTCTAAGCTTTTAAAATGCTAATTCACATGACTCAAGGAGAGTTAACTCCCTTCCAAGACTGTACCTTCAGAAGTGTCAATGTCATAAAAGCAAAGAAAATCTGTGAAAGTGCTCTAGATTAATGAAACCTGACAACTAACACATATTTAACCCTAGATTGGATCCTGTCCTGGGGGTGGAAAAATATTATGAAAGACATTATTGGGTTGACTGACAAAATGGGAATATAAATTAGACAAAGGGGTTGTAGCAATGTTAAATCTATTTACCTTAAAACTGTACTGTGCTTATGAAAGAAAACATCCTTACTCTTAGGAAATACACACTTAGTAGTCGGGGGTGAAAGACCTTGACGTATCAATCTTAGTCTGAAACACACGTGCAATATATAAGGAGAGCACCCACAACGATAAAGCAAATGGGGCAAAAATGGTAACCAACGGTAAATCTCAGTAAAGTACACAGGCATTCTTTGTACTACTCTTATTCTTACAATTTTTCTACAGTTTGAAATTAATTCCAAAACAAAGTTTAAAAACGGCTCCTTTTAAAAACTTTAAAACCTGTGATACAATCTGCAGGGCAGGGTTTCAGAAAAACACTTCCCTGTGCTAATATTTCCAAATTTCCACTCCCTTTGAGTGAGTCTCTCAATTCTGAAATTCATGTGCACACACACTGGGTTCTGTTACCCTTGCTCAGATCAGAGAGGCCCCTGTAGTGCTATGCCTTGCAACCTGAGCCTTAGCAGTTGTAGGACCTCCTCTAAATAATGTTAGAAGGAAAGAGGTCCCCATAAGCCCTAGTACTCTCCAGCTGCCCAGAGGATGACAAGAAGTGAGGCCAGCCCAGGGCCCAAATAAACAAGCATGAGGAGAACCTCAGCTTATGCTAAGTTCCTATGGAAGCGCCCAGGGGTAGAAAAGCAGCATCACAGAAGACACAAACCCCCCACAAGGAATGAAAAGGTTCTACTCAAGGGAAAGAATGGTCCATGAAGGCCACTGAGAGTTGCCAGCTTTGGAGAGCTCTCAGGATTGATAGGAGAGGGAAAATAAATATAGAAGCCAGTCAAAAGAGTAAGTCCGATGTGTTACACAGGGACTGAAAAAATGGAAGGCTTCTCCACACCCAGATAAAGCCGTTAAAATGAGGAGTTCAGGGACTTCCCAGCGGTCCAGTAGGTAAGACTCCACGCTTCCACTGCAGGGGACACGGGTTCGATCCCTGGTTGGGGAATTAATGCAGCACGGCCAAAAAAAGGAAAGAAAAAAAACGAGGAGTTCACGTTTTCAAGTACAGCCCATTTAGATTCCAGCCAAGAGACCAGCAGAATGTAGCCAGATGGTGGAGGAAAAAGCACATGCATGACTTCCCAAAAGCCCCCAAAAGGCCATTAGCCTGGGAAGCTGAGAACAGAGTCTCCCGAGCAGGCCCTGGGACTGGGGAACAAGAGCCTTCTGAGCTGCCAAGAAGTACAGGCTTGCCTACAGTTATCATTTCTCCAACTCTAACGAAATATTTAAAACACAAATGAAAATCGTATGCCCTGTGGGCAGGGCAATATTAAATACTACTTGACTTTTCTTAGCATAGTTTCTAATAACCCTGTTAGGTCAGCAGAATAAGTATTACTCTATTTTGGAGAGGAGGAAATGGATTTTTTTAAAAACTCACATTACTTTGCTTTAGGCCAAACACTTAAATTAAGGATCACTAATACTTTAAAACAGAGAATATATAACTGGGGCTCTCAGTGGGAGCCAAGGACAATCGTTTACCATGAGAACCCCCTGAATTTGTGTGCAGAGTTTTGAGTATTCTTCTGAGAAGACAGGCTGTAGAATTCAGTTTGTCAAAGGGATCCCCACATCCCCCCAAAAAAGGTTTTTTTAATTATTTCTCCCCCCCAAAAAAAGTCAAATTTTTTTTACAAGTAGAATTTTTTAAGTTTTAAAATAACATATATATAATCTATATCATAAAGGGATTTCATATTAAGCCCATGAATTAAAATTTTCTGGCTTACGAACTGCAATAGTAAAACTACATGGAAACGACAATGTGAAATTTCATACTAAAATGGGTGTCCAACCAATATAACTTTGCCATGCCAACACAAAGAACAAATGAAAAAGAAAAACAGCCAATCTAAATGTGTTCCTTGTTTATCTACAATAGAATACCAAATGCCTATATGTTTGATATTTGTGCACATTTTTAAGAAAAAAAATAATTGGGCTAACTGGGCAAATCAGATGGAATAGCTGGGGTTTGCCCCAAAAAGTAGCCTAACACCTACATGTGAAAAACTAAGAATCCTGGGCTTCAAATCCCACTGCTGCTGCAGCAGATTCAGATGAACAGGAATCCAAGATGGCAAGAGACAGAAGCGGACTCTGGGCCCTGGGGTGCGCTACAGACACAGTGAAGGCAGTCCCAGAAATGCTCACATGTTCCAAACTACCAAATTAAGTAATTTCCCCCATGAAAGACTTACTGTTTTTTCAGCTGCCTCTGGCCTCTTCTTTTTGGGCTCCCACTCTCAGACCCGCTACTTGCCTTCAGTGTGTGAGGGGGAAAAAATGATTACAGACTTTAATTCACAGTTCTTAGGGATAACACTACCCCCTGGTTCAACAATCTACTCAATATATTCAATATGAGTTTTTAGACAGAAAGAAACCTAAGCATCTGATTGGTGGTGCTCACTTTTCTTTTGCTTTGAAAATTAATTTGTTACTGCTGAGTTACTTCTAACGCCAGGAAATATTTCTTTCAGCTTGACTTCTGAAAGAACACAAACGCCAGGAAATATTTCTTTCAGCCTGACTTCTGAAAGAACACAGTCCAATAAAATTTTCTGTGATGATGGACATGTCCTGTATCTGCAGTGGCCCACAGAGCAGCCAGCAGCCACATGTGACTGAGCCCCTGAAATGTGACTGGTGTGACTAAGGAATGGATTTTTCATTTTACCTAAATTTAATTAACACACATTTTAAAAGACACATGTCTAATGGAGACCAAACTGGATGCTGCAGATATAGACTGTCACACAAAAATGCCACACATTTAGTGTGCCATTAAAGGCGGTAACTACGGACCTGTTTCATTTCAGACCCATTAAAGAGCATGTTCAGTCATGAGCCAGCAGCCCTCTGCTAAAAGCACAAGGCCAAGTAAGTTTACAGTCACAGACATTTGAACAACTCTTTTTTCCCCCAAGTTAAGCAAACTGGCAAACTACTCCCGTTGCTGTTAGTCTTGTGCCCTACAGAGAATGTGTTAATCTATACACAAAAGAGAAAAGATGCGGCTGGTTATAACAAACATGGAAAAAAGAAAGGTAGCTAAGGTAAACCGGCTCAAAGGTCACTGAAAATAAAACACCATAAATGCAATGCAGGTGTTACAGTCAATTAAATTTTTTAAGTGTATTTACTACCCCAAACTCACTAACCTTTGGCTACTAATATTTAACTTTCATCAGAAAGATATTATATATTTAAGAATAGCAAAGTTCTCCTAAGAATGCAGAGAGGGGACATTTCACTGAGAGACCAAAGAACGTGTCCTTCAGAATGCAGTCTATAAACCTAACGTAGAGGTAAAACTTAAGAGGATTTCCATAAAAACATCACACAAACTGAGAAAAGGTCTGATTCTATAGAAACAACAGAACCCAGTACATAACACTAATTTTAAAAACCATCAATCTATTCAATCTCTGACAATTTGATCAGAGAGTAAATATGTGTTAAACATTTTATACTGCACATTAAAAATGAACTAGGAAACCAAATTTAAACCATTTAGGTAAAATAAAATACTTAAGCAAACTCTCCTTCCTTTCTCAGCAGTAAATCTGAAACTACTTCCATTGTTACACTTGCTTAGTTACCCAGGTAACAAAATCTAGAAGATTTAGAAACTAGATATTTTAAAAAGTAAACTTCTTGCTATAATCAACTGCACTATGAGAAACATTAAAAAAAAAAAAGAATTTGAGGCCAGTTCTATATAATACTCTGCCTCTCTACTAGAGCATCACAAGACATGATCTTTCAGGTAATTTTATTTTTTTAAAAGCCACATGTGGCTTTTCTTCTGTATTAGATTGAGAAAGCTCACTTTCGAGTCACTTAACTCCCATGCCTGAAGTTCAGTCTCGTTAATGGTAATACATATCAGAGTCAAAAAGGATAAGATAATTAAGGAGTCTGAATGTATCACCTTGAAACATTTTTTTTTCTTACCTCCTCCTTAATATTAAATCGTGATGGTTCTTGTCTGCTTCGGTTTGACCGCCTAACCCCATAAACATCAGGATATTCTTCCCACATCTGTAAAATTAATAGACCACGCGTGAATCGTTTCTTCTTGACCCCCATTTACTATTTACATTACTGGAACATGTATTTCAATTTAAGAGAATTCAATTAGTTATTTGGTTATATATCAAAAGGGTTGTTTTGTTAGCTTTGTTTATGAGACAGTGAAGGACCATCTTTAAAAAGAATAAGGCATATTATCCGAGAACTCATTAAAGTTGTTAACGATGCCTCTTCATTACTAAATGGCATTAAACTAGAGGTCACACTGCTTACCCATTGTTAAAATATAAACTTACAGTTGAATAATGTGGCAACATAAGAGAACAACTGCTTCCACTAAAGACAAAATATTTACTGATGAATTTTAAGTCCCTAATGCTTTCAGTTTCAGCTCTGACTGCAAAAGACTCCTCTGAGAAACTCAAAAAAATCAGCAGGGCCCCACCACCAACTCTCATTAAATAAGAATCAGTGCATTTGCATATGTTTTTTAATTCCTCAGGATGCGTAACATGCCAGATACAGGCAAATTCGGTATCTCTAACGTTTAGCTAGAAGTTCTCAGAATGAGACCCAGTGGCACCCTTGCTGTAGCACACTTCATTTTATTCTCTAAGAGTAGTAACCCTTTGCCTTTAAGACCTGATTTTTAGTAACAATCCTCACTAGTGATCAAACAAAGCTTAAAGAGGAATCAGTTGAAGAGAACATTTTTTTCACAATATACTGACACCATTTTATTAAAAGACTCAAATCAATAAATATAAAAAATTATAAAAGGCCTCCCTTCTTCCACCTCTAACAATTAGCCTAACCCCTAGCCTCACTCTCCTTCCCACAGATAACTATTAACAGGTATGCTGTGTGTTCTTTTAATGAAATCAATCACCTATAGGCAAAATGAATTTAAACAGATTGTGGAACAATGAAGTGAAGATGCTCAACAGGAGGTAAACACATAGAAGAGAGGCTTGAAAAAGCCACGATGAGAAATGTGGGTTTGTCATCGAAACACGGGTGACAGCTAATGTCATGAAAATATCTGGAGTGAAGCAAGAGAAGCCACAGGTTGAGGCTCATCATGAAATGTGTGGAAAGTGGACCCCCAAAAAGACAAAAATGATGAAAGACGATCGAAAAACACATAATGTCACTAAGCCAAGGAAGGACATAATCAACAGTGCCTTTAAAAAAGAAAAAAAAAGCCAAGGGCTTCCCTGGTGGCGCAGTGCTTGAGAGTCCGCCTGCCGATGCAGGAGACGCGGGTTCGTGCCCCGTTTCGGGAGGATCCCACATGCCGCGGAGCGGCTGGGCCCGTGAGCCATGGCCGCTGAGCCGGCGCGTCTGGAGCCTGTGCTCCGCAAATGGGAGAGGCCACAACAGTGAGAGGCCCGCATAACGCAAGAAAAAAAAAAAAAAAAAAAAAAAAGCCAAGTAAGCTGAAGAAAAACAAGGCCTCCAAAGGTAACAAGCATGATGTTCTAGGAAGAGGCATTTTAGAACTAGAAGCCATATAATCATGTAATCCAGCATCCTCAGTTTATAAATTCAGTTTATAAAAGTAGAAAATCCTTAACAACCTTAGAATAATATGAGTTGGAGGACAAAAGGTCCAACCAGGAGTCAGTAATAACCAAGCAGAAGGAAATCTAGGCAAAAGAGGCAGCACATGCCAAACACTGAACAAACGGGGCAGAGAAAGGAAGGCAGCAAAGAGCTTTGCTCTAGCGCTGCCTGCCAACCCCTCCCCCATCCTTTTTTGGACCTCTCCTAGAGCTATGAAATGACTCAGCACTGGTATTTATAGAGCTTTTATTAACTGGGTGGCTCAATGCTTTAAATGGCACTACATCAATTAGTTTTACCATTTAAAAAGACAGGCATTCTGGCTCACCTGTTGGGACTTTATCACAGTATATACTGTAATACATACATCCTAAAATCACCTTGTGTTCCTGTTTGTCCTTTTGAGGGCTAATGATATCTAATTCAACTATTCAATAAAAAGCTACCATGTGAAAGGGAAGTGTGTACAGAAAACAAAGAGCTTTCTTTAGAAGCTCATTTTAGAATAATTATTATTAAAGTCACAATCCAATCATTCTAACTGGCTAGTACATTCATCCATGTATTTATTAACTTTTTGGAACTTATCACCTTAACTTTAATATTTCTGCCTAAAGCTGTACTTATACTTATATCTTAAAATTCAGTCTTATTCCACTTTATCTCTTTAAACGGAGTTTCATATATATATATATGTATATGGTCTTACAGTTAAACTGTGAATTCCAGACAGTGAGCATCATGATTTCAGTAAAATTTTAAACACCTGACGCAAGTCGTGTTTTCTATGGCTTCTTTTACTCTCTGCAAGTAAAGAACTCTCCCCTGTACAGAAGAAAGTTAAAAGATGGCCAAGCAAGACCTTCTGCAGGTAAATTTCTGAGCTGAATGACACTCAGAGAAGATCTCTAAGTGGTACTTCGACATTCAGGGTCTTTCTGAAATAGGTCACCACCTGAAATGTCTTCTTGTGAAAGGTCCCCACACACTGAGCAGGCAACAAGCACAACACTTGAGTGTTGGAAGGTCACTTCTCTGGTGATGAGTTAATTAGCAAGGACAGCTCTCATTTTCCTATCCCTAACACTACTATCAGCATTCCCCAACCTCCCACCAGCTCTTAAGCGTCACTTACCATTAAGCAATGACTACGCTGGGAATAGAAGAAATGAAATAACACAGTTAATCCCAATTCTGTTTCAAGAGATAAAAGCAGTTTTTGTTTTTTAATTTCAGGATTGTTGAAGCTATTTTGTAAAACTTTCAGGTAACTTTAAATTGTTTGTATCGCTACAAAAATCTTTGTGTGCTATTTTAGAAGAAAAACTGATTTAGCATAAAGCTTTTAGTTTCTTTAAGACATTTTACTTCTAAATTTCTAAAAGCAATCTTTTTTATATTTTCAGTGATTCTAACTTAATTCTCTCAAAAGGGAATTTTAAAACATCAGCTGCATTTCTCATGACTAACTAGACCAAGTCATTAATTCTTCCCCAAAAGGGACGCATCCCAAAGTTTGGCCATCAATGAAAAAATGCTATGCAACTCAATTTTTGCCTTTTTGCATTCTCTGCTGGAAGATTCTCGTTAAGCAAAGAATACCTACATTGCCTAGGTACAGATAATTTCTTTTCTGTGAGGAGTATTTCTCCCTCCATTCTTCAATAGAAGAAAAACTACCCTTATTCTTGAACTGGGATTATCCATCACACTACAACTGCATTCCACAATCATCTGTGAATGACTTTCTCTGGTATAATTCAGTGCTGTTATTAAAAAATATGTATTTTAACCACCTTTTTTAAATGTTAAAAACCAAAACAACAATAATTGGTCTTTCTGCCCTATAATTTGATGGTTTATGTAATTATTTTCCTTATAGCCCTGTGTCTAACGAGTAGAGCAGAAAGCATTCCCCATTTAGACCCACAGACAGTATATTATTAGAAAAGGTGGCTGTAGATGAGTTTTCATTATCAAGATACACTAAGGAGTTTTCCGTGGGAAACAAAGGTCTGCTAGCTGGTCCTAGCTGACAGCACGTTTGTACTGTACAGCAAAGCCGATACCTTCTTCACATCAGCTATCCGTTCCTTCTTAGAGGCTGGCTTCTCTTTGGCTTCTGGAAGAACTGGCTGGGATTTGGAACCTCCCGATTCACTTTCAGATTCTGACTGACTCTCCGAAGATTCAGAACTACTGTTTGACTCGCTGCCATGTCCACTTCCTGGATCGCTGCCCTGCTCACTCTCCGACTGGCTGCCTGAGTCTGAACCCGAAGCTTCTTCAGATGCTGAATGACTTAATTAAAAAAAAATAAAATAAAATAAGTATTTAAGAACTGCCACATAAATCTGTTTTAAAATAAAAATCCTAGTGTTAATATGACAGCAGATAGTAATTTGGTAATACAAGATCAAAATTTTCTAATTACTTTTATAGTCTTATTTGCAAACAATGTCATTAGTCCCATTCTCAACATCCCTAATAGCTACCATTTCCTGAGTATGTACATGATGCCATATGCCACCTAACTTATATAGATTAGCTTTTTTTAAAAAAAATTAAAAGGGGGATATTATTTTGTCCTTCATTCAGATGAGGAAAAACTGAAGCTCAGAAGTAGTTAAATAACTCTCCCAAGATGACACAGGTAGGATTTGAAACCAGGTCCATCTGCCTGAATCCACTAAGTCTTATTTGTTCATCATCAGTCCCTCCCTCCTTAAGACAAAGACAAAACCAAACCAAAATGAAACGAACGAACGAACAAACAAAAAAGCAACCAACACAGAACAAAACAAAACCAAGGCAGAGTCACCCAAAGAATAAAAATGCAATCTGGTTGCAATTATCCAATCAGTGGTTCTCAAAAATAGGTGCAAATTAAAACATACACATGAACCCCAAACCAAAACTCCTGCCTTGAAATCTCCTGCAGTTGAGTCCCAGACCTGGTAGACTTAAGAGAAAAGAATAAACAAAGAGCCTAACCCAATGAAGACTGCCATTGGCTTCCACACACCCCCACCCCTTCCTCATTCCAAACCCCTCCCAGGAAAGAGCAAAGGTAAGTAGGTAGATGAAAGCAGAAGACACACACACACACACACACACACACACACACACACACACACACACACACACACACACACCCTGCAATGCAGGGGACACAGGTTCAAGCCCTGGTCCGGGAAGATCCCACGTGCCACAGAGGAACTAAGCCCGTGCGCCCCTACTACTGAGCTTGTGCTCCAGAGCCCATGAGCCGCAACTACTGAGCCCACGTGCCACAACTACTGAAGCCCGTGCACCTAGAGCCCGTGCTCTGCAACAAGAGAAGCCACTGCAATGAGAAGCCTGCACACCGCAACAGAGTAACCCCTGCTCGCTGCAACTAGAGAAAGCCCCGGTGCAGCAAGAAAGACCCAACACAGCCAAAAATAAATTAAAAGAAAAAAAAAAAGACACACACACACACACACACACACACACACACACACACACACACACACACACACACACACACACACACACACACACGGCCCGGGGAAGACTGAAGGCAATATACCACCCCCTGTTCTCCAACAGTTAAAAAGTAATTCATGGGCATGCTGGTAGGAATGAGGATACTCTAAAGCGAAAAGATCTAAAATTGATGGACTCTACAGGAAAAAAGTATACAGCTCACTCAGCTCTTCTGCTTAAAAAACTATCTTTTCATTTAGGAGAGGCAGAGCAGAGGAGGCAAGCAGCAACCCACAACCTAGAGTAACATCAGCAGAAAGGACCCCGAGTTTAGCAACCAGGAGATAAAAGACACAAGGCACGAAGCCAGAAAGGCTCAAAAAAAAAAAAAACACAGAGAGGCTTTGTATTTTTGTTATTTACCACCACTCCCTTCCAAACTAGAAATGAGGCACTATCACTTGACAAACATGTCCACAGAATGAACAGGAGAGTACACTGGGAATGTCCAGTGTGATCCACAGCAAGCACAATGCAGTTGAGGGGACTTTAGTTAAGATGAGAAAGCAATGAGAATAAATGGAGGGGGAGGGCGTCTACCTTGGGAAGGGGAGCAGAAGGGGAAGACCATTTATTAATTGCCTGATCATCTAACAGGTGCCAGGCAATACGCTGAGTACGTTATATGTTCATATTGCTTATTTCCCAGAACAACGCTTTTAGACACTATTATTCCCATGTGAAGGATGAAAAAATTGAGAAGTTTTAAATAACCTGGTCAATGACAAAACTAGAAAGTGGTGGGGGAGTCGGGGAGGGGAGCAGGAATTCCACCTCAAGTGTGGCTCTAAAAAGCTCATATTCTATCTTACCACAAGAGTTCAAAGCCTTAGACACTCAGAAAATAAACCTTATCCCTGTTACACAACATCCAAAACCAGTCAGGCATCCCTGTAACAGCGACTGAGTACCTACAAGGCCTCATTATACTTACTGACTCCTTGGTCCTCTGCACAGAAAAGCTGACTAGTCCAGCTGACTAAAGCATCTTAAGTCACTTACTCTCCACCTGTGACCACTCAGAAGGTGGTCAGACCAGGCAAGAGGAAAAAAGAGGAAGTACAGTTAAAAGGTGTAGGCTCTGGCCTCCATGGCTTGGGTCTCCATCCTAGATCATCTCAGGTCTGTGCCCTCTTTTAACCTGTGACATAAATCATTGCAAATGTGATGTAAACATCCAATGCCAATTCCCACATCAGGGTATATGTGTGTATATGAATATCTCATTCTCTTTGAGCTGCCTCATAGGATGAATACACTACATTTATTTAAACTGCCCCCTTATTAATGGAACATTTAGGTTATTTTTAAACTGTTCTCTTAACCAACAAGCAAAAAATACCCATGATACACTTCCATATCTCTGTATTTCTGAGTATTTAGATTTCCAAATTGTTCACTATAACCAATAAAACTATAATATCTTTGTATATATGCCTTCATGTGCAGCTCTGTATTTGTGTTTGTGTAAGAAAGTGACCTCTGGAAACATAAAAATACATATAACACCTTTCAGGTAAAAAACACATCTATGTCTATGTGCATAAATACATTTTAATCACCAAATTGCTAACAGTGGTTTCTCTGTGGGATGGGTTATTTGAGTACCTAGTAGATTCCATGAACTACTTACTGGTGCAATTAAAAAAAAAAAATTAGTAACTCTGAAAGTCAAACCCAAGAAAAGATAAACATCAAGTTTACAATTGTATTTACCTCTGGGGGTTGAGGGAGGCAGATGTAATCAGAAAATGATACTGATGGGGGACTTCCCTGGTCGTCCAGTGGTAAAGAATCCACCTTCCAATGCAGGGGATGCGGGTTCGATCCCTGGTCGGTGGGAACTAAGATCCCACATGCCACAGGGCAACTAAGCGTGTGCCGCAAACTACAGAGCCCACGCGCCCCAACTACAGAGAGAAAATCCGCACGCCACACTAAAGAGAAGCCCGCGCACAATGAAGAGCCTGCGCCACAACGAAAAAAGATCCTGCACGCCTCAACTAAGAGCTGACGCAGACCAAAGGAAAAAAAAAAAAATGATATTGGTGGGCTTTATGACTGAGGCTGAGTGGTTGAGTTCATAGTCATTCGTTATGTAAGTATTAATCTTTTTAATGTTTCAAATGGTTCATAAAAAATCCAACCAAAAGAGTCAAATTCAAGGCAAGGGATGTTAAGTATCCCCAATCCTATACAAAATGAGCTAAAGATATGAATGAGGGTGAGACCAAGTGTTTTTTTTTTTTCCCCATCATTTCTGAAACAAGTCAGATTTAAGAGACCTAAAATAATATTCGGGGGAAAAAACATTTTTAAAAATAAGCCTTAATAAAGGCATAACTGAATTAATTTGCATACTTCTCCTAGGAGGACAAGTTTCTAAATGTTGAAATAGAAAAAGAATATTTAGGAAAAAACTATAAATACCTTCACATTTAAGGCACTGACAGTCTAATTATTCATTCCAAGGGCAGGATATTTCCTGAAATATTATGCAGATTCACTATTAATGACGAATGATAATACTAAATACTATCAATATTAAGTTGTAGCTTGTAATGTTAATTTAGAGTAGGATATGTCCACAGGACTGAAAAAAGTTAGTGGGTGAGTAGTCCGTTAGCTAAGCTTTCACCGAAAGTAATAAAATTACCTGATTTCCAATGGCATTAATAGTTATAAGGCAATTAAAAATGGAATTTCCAGGAATGATTAACCACCATAAATATAGAATCCTCATGAAAAATAAGTTTACCTAAAAATTACTCAAAACCTAAGTTGCAAACAAGTTTTATAATTTCTGATTGAACAATTATCACAAGGGAAATACAATGCAAAAATAAATAAAAGGGACAAGTCAAAATTGGGAGTTTTTTGAGCTTCCCTGGTGGCACAGTGGTTGAGAGTCCACCTGCCGATGCAGCGGACACGGGTTCTTGCCCCGGTCTGGGAGGATCCCACATGCCCTGGAGCGGCTGGGCCTGTGAGCCATGGCCGCTGAGCCTGCGAGTCCGGAGCCTGTGCTCCGCAAAAAAAAAAAAAAAATTGGGAGTTTTTCAATTCCAATAGCAAAATGCTTATTTAAAAAAAAGCTTAACACTTCTTTTCACTCACTGATAAAAAGGATTTGACATCTCTTCAAAATCCTTTCTGAAGCTGGCAAAAATGGAGTGATTAAGTGTCTCTTACAACTGGACCTTGAAAGCAAGCAGCATTAATAGCTATTGTTCCATTTTTAATTTTTAATCACCGCTTCCCAGATAACCACAAGAGGGCAGCACAGCAACACTCCGCTACAGAGCAAGCCTGTGGGTTCTCGGCCCAAGAGCTGCCATTTCAGCACTTACTGGGTACTGTTTATTTTCCTAAACTTACAAAATGGCTGAACTGCTTGGCAGAGCTGGATTTTTTTTTGGTGGTGTTGGTGAAAGCAAAATCTGGTAAAAACGCAAAGCCATCTACACTGGAATTCCATAAAGTTTATCTCCAGACTATGTTCTATCAATATTAAAATAGCTAACATTGTGGAGCACTTCTGTGCCATTTGCAGACATTCCCCTCTAATCCTTCTCTTCATTTTACCTAAGAGGCCTAGCCCAAGTGTGTGTATGTCATCCCCCAGCCCCACAGCCTAAATTATGAAATTCACACTACTATTAACCTCTAAGTGGTGTTGCTGTCCCTGTCATAATCAGTTAAACAGATTATTAAACCACCCAACAAGAGATTAAGGCCAGAATCATTCCAAGGGTGGTGCAGGACAAGTCACT